GAAGCTTCAGCCACTTCATGTCATTTCAGGAATTTCAGGTGGGGACCTGAAACCGCCGAAGTGGCTGAAGCTTCTGAAAGGGGTTTCAGGTACCCCCATCCAAATGGTTGGAAGGGGGCACCTGAAACCCCTTTCAGAAGCTTCAACCACTTCAGGTCATTTTAGGAATTTCAGGTGGAGACCTGAAACCGCTGAAGTGGCTGAAGCTTCTGAAAGGGGTTTCAAGTAACCCCATCYCACCATTTGCAATGGATCTGTAGACAATMTGAAAGTRGTGTATCAACCTGAAGTGGTTGAACTGCCTGAAGGCGGTTTCAGACAACCCCATGTACAGATCCACACACAATCTGAAAGTGGTGTAGTAACCTAAAGTGGTTGAACTGCCTGAAAAGGAGACCTGAAAATATATGCACCCGTTAACCATCTCTCCCTCAAGAATGATCTCGTGAGAGATCGGCTGATCCGGCACCACACCGGTAGGTGACTCGAAGATGTCGGCGAACTCGTCCAGCAACCGCACTACCCGGGGGTCCGAAGACAAGTCCGTGGGTGAAGTGTCGGCTACCGCGACAGTCCGGAGGAAACATAGGCCGATCTCATCGGGCTGCTCGTAAGCGCAAGTCGCCCGGAATGATTTTGCTGTCACCACTTGGCACCGAATCGAAGGGTGCGGTAGAGGAATAGTACACGCCACTTCCGCGCCGAAGGCGTCGCGAACGCTAAGAGTCCGCCTGCGGAAGTTGACCGTGTGATCCGCACTTGCAAGCCAAGGCATTCCCAGTATTATGTCGAAGTCCGTGTCGAGAATATCGAATGTCACCGGTTCGCATGCATGAGGTGCGAAGTAGACCGGTACGGCCTCGATGTAACTGTCGAGAAGTTGCTGTGTTTTCCCATCCGCCAACTTGATCGCCGTCGGGTTTGCCTTCCTCCGAACTTGTGCCCCAAGGCCAGCCCTTTGCATAAAGGATTGGCTCATGAAATTGCGAGATGCGCCGCTATCCAACAAAGCGCTGCAGGATGCTTGCCCAACCTGGATGCGGATATACATGAGCGGTGCGTTGTTGTCATCGTACCGCTGTGTGCGAAACTCGCGGGCCACCTTGGTAGTATATGCAAGGATGTCCCCCATCGCGACTTCGTCTCCTGTCGGCGAAGCTGGTGGTGCATAGAAGGATAAGTATGTGTGGAGATGAGCGCATAGTGCTGCGCATTGCAGTCCCGGCAAGCGGCCTGTGGTCGGGAAAGGAAGCCATGCAAATTCCTCGGACGTAAGCGGGTCCAATACCTCTATGTTGAACTCGCGCGTCGAATCCCGTGAAGAACCACTTGAAGACGATAAGTCGGCATAGTCCTCAAAAGAAAGTAGAAGAGGAGGACTATCGACTTCCGCGTGCGCCTCGGAATGAAGGTCGGTTACTCGCGAAGAAACCGGTTCCGGAGGCGTCGAGAGTGTTGTCGAGTCACTCTCGGCGGTGCTCAGTTTCCCTGTTTGCCCTTGCCTTTCAATGGGCAAACCAGTGTTTGATGAAGATCACTATTGCACCATAGGCAATAGTGGAATCTCGTGTGCGCCTTGAATGCTAGCTCGGAGATGCCGTATTGGGTCCATGGGGCTGTTGGAGCTGCTGCACCGGGCCCGGGGCTAGATGCGGTGTGTGTCTTCGTCTTGCCGTGTCCTCGGCCTCTGCCGGGCCGGCCACCTTCCCGGGCGGCTGCGAGTCTGTCCCCTTCACTGGCAGACACAGCCTCGCTGGTTTGGTCCAACGGCGTTGCCGCTGCGACCACGGCCACTCTTGGCCGATGCTGGTCCCTGCTCGGGCCTGCCGCAGACGAACGCAGATTCTTCGCCTCCTTGTTCGTAATGATGATCTGCGCGGCCTTGTCAAAAAGTTGCGCCGTTGTCGTCAAGGTGTCCTCGACGTGAGTCAAGGCATTGGTTAATGTCGGACATGACCTTGAGATAAAGTAATGGCGGATGGCTTTGAAGCCCATCTGGATGTCTGGGACTGACGTCAAGCGTTGGTACTTGGCGATCCAGTCGGTACTTGGCAGCGTGCCTTGTTCGAAGACCATGAGCTTGTCCATAGCCTTGATCTCTGGCGGCTCAACCTGGAACCGTTTGTGCCACGCCGCCTTCAGATCATCCCAACAGATCTTGGTGTGCAAGTCGGCAGCTACCACTTCGTACTTGGACAAGAGGTTGTCCAACCAAGCCTGGCACGCGCCCCCTGAGCGAGAGTACAAGTATGCGTGGTGCTTGTGTTCTTTGACGTTGTGGAGCTGCAGCGTGAGCTCGAACTTGCGGAACCATGGAATCGGATCTGTCTTGATCGAGTCGCAGAAAATCTCCTGCCCGTCAAACTTTGGAGTTGTCTCGCGTGGCTCCGAACTCGAGGTATTGGCGGTGGTACAGATCCGCTGCTGCAACAGTTGCGTCGCGGTCTGCTGTAACTGTGCGCCATCCTGGAGGGAGCCGACGCGCATCTCCAATGCTTCGAGGCGATCGGAGGTAGTGGAAGAGCTTGCATCGGGTGCGGCGACAGGTGGCTGCTCCAGCGAGCCGTCGAGGCTGTGGATATCCTCCTGCTGCATAGTGCATGTAGCCAGGAGGTCTGTGAGATGCGAGAGGAGGAGAGCGATCTTGTTTTCGCAATCCTCCAACTTGCCATTCTCAGCCTTGGTCCGCCATTCCGCTGCCATTGTGAGCAAGGTCCACTCTCCGCTAAATATCTTCTCACGACGTTGGTTCCTTTCTTCATCAGCAGCCCTTGCTGCTGCCTCGTCATGCTGGCGCTGTTGTTGAAGTGTCAGCAGACGTGCCTGCTCGGCATCCTCTGCCTTCTTCTTCGCTGCTGCAGCTGCGTCATCTGCCCGTTTTCTTGTCTCGGTACTCCAAGCCAGCATCCGGGCCTGATAGGCCTCATCTGCTTCACCGGGCCTCTGGTCCATGACGGTTGTCTGTGACCACAACATCATGTACCAGGCCGGGGGCCTGCTGACGTGGTATTCCTGCTCTGTCCGCTGACGTGGCCTGCTGACGTGTCCTGCTGACGTGGCCTGCTGACGTGGTCTGCTGGCGTGTCCTGCTGACGTAGTTTGGTGACGTGGCAACTCACCAATGTCGTCGTAGGGGGTACCCGGAGATAGGTAGAGAAGGTAAGGCCAGAGGGGGCAACAACATAGATGGGGAGGGTGGGTGGGAAGAATCGCCCAGATAAGGAGCCACTAATCAAAAAAAGAAAAGTTTGAACTTTGCAAAAAAAATTCGAAAAATAAAGAAATCCCGACTTTTGCAAGTTCAGTAGGTCTCCTGGCCTCCTTTGAAGTTCGAAATGATCAATGAGAAAAAAAATTCAACTTCAAACTGCATATGATTATAGAACTGACTAACAGAATCCTAGAACTGCGGAAAAAAAAAAAAAAAAAAAAATCCAAAAAGAAATGACAAGTATTCGGAAAATTTCGGATTTTCCCAGATGAGA